CACGGTGGCTCTGTGGTGCGCCCTGTCCGTCAGTGTTCACGTGTAGAGCAGCCGAGGGCAGGCACGGTGGCTCTGTGGTGCGCCGTGTCCGTCAGTGTTCACGAGTGCGGTCCTGTCCCCTCACTGGTCCGTCTGGCTCTTGCAGTAATGGCGCCATTGTTACCCATCACAGCTCAGTGGGGTAGGTGCCAGGTACCCTGAGCTGTCATGTCCACATGCAGCCTCAGATCCTGCTGCCCACAACGTAGCCACCACCTCCACGCAGCGTGTCTGCTCAGGGAAGGCTGTGTGAACATGTGTTCCGGGACACGGCGTCGATCCCCTCAGTTCTCCCAGGAGGGTGGGGTCCTTGGCTTGGATGCCTCTGGGGTCCAGGTGGGTTGGGTGCCTGGTTAACCCACCCAGCCGTTCTCCCCAGGTGACCTGGAGGAGTTCCTCATCTTCAGGGCCTCAGTGGAGGGCGGAGGCTTTAACGAGCGCTGCCTGGTGGCAACGTCCTTCAGAGACGTCGGCGAGCGGATGGTCGTCACTGCTCTGTTCAACAATCAGGCCTACCACTCACCGGCCACCGCCCTGGCTGTCGTGGACAACATGCTGTTCAAGCTGCTCTGTGGCCCCCGGGCCTCCATCACCATTTCCAACCACCCTCAGCCCCGGAGCGCCCTGCAGGCCGCCAAGGACCAGTTCCACGAGTGCGTGCACTTCCCTCCCTGCCCCGTTAAGACCCCGCTCCACCTGGCCGGCCACATGCTAACGGGGGTCTGGCCCGTGGGTGGTCTGGCCCGGGGCAGAGTGGAGAGGAGAAGGCAAGAGGGTCTCACCACAGAAGACACTGTGAAAGGCAGCTTGACAGGTGTCACTGTCACCTGAGTGATCGTCGGGGGGCACAGGGCACAGACTGAAGGTGATTGGGAGAGTGCTACTGCCATCAGTGGGGTGATGGGGCCGTGTGCTGCGGGCAGTAAGGACAGCGCCCGGCCTTGCTCTGCACAGCACATGGCGCTCGCCCTGACCACCCATCCCCGCAGGGGCCGGAAGGGCTTTGACATCGCCCTCAACCTGCTCTTCGCCATGGCGTTCCTGGCCAGCACCTTCTCCATCCTGGCGGTCAGTGAGAGGGCCACCCAAGCCAAGCACGTCCAGTTTGTCAGCGGCGTCCACGTGGCCACCTTCTGGCTCTCCGCCCTGCTGTGGGATCTCATCTCCTTCCTGGTCCCCAGCCTGCTGCTGCTGGTGAGCGTGGTGGGGGGGCCTTCCGCGGCAGGCGAGGGGCTGGCCTGGAGCACTGCCCAGGGCCTGAAACAGCAGGGCCCTGACCTGGGAGACATCTGGGAACGTCCCGCAGCCCCCCTCAGCTCCTCTCATCCCCACGAAGCCCCAGCCTTGTGTGGGCAGGCCTGGCGCGAGGCCTTGTTACAGAGAGGGCGCTGTCCATCCAGATGGGGCCCCGGGCTGAGCCAGGCGATTTGTAACGGTTTCAAAGTCCCTCCCTCACTCCCAGCAGCCCTCTCCTGCCCAGTGAGTCTCTGTGGCCCCCCCAGCACCCTGAGCCCCGTGTCTGCGCGGCAGGTGGTGTTCAAGGCCTTTGATGTGCACGCATTCACGCGGGATGGCCACGAGGCCGACGCCCTGGCGCTGCTCCTGGTCTACGGCTGGGCCATCATCCCCCTCATGTACCTGATGAGCTTCCTCTTCTCGGGCGCAGCCACCGCCTACACGCGGCTGACCATCTTCAACGTCCTCTCAGGCATCGTCACCCTCCTCGTGGTCACCATCATGCGCATCCCAGGTGGGGCCCCAACATCCTCTCCCGCCACCCTCAGAGGCTGGGCCGGGGCCACGCCCTACAGCCCCTCTACCCGAGGCCTCAGTGGGTGTCTGTCGGTGCCTGCTCTGCTTGGGGAGACGCCTGCCGAGCGGCTGGGGAGGGACTGGGACTGTGCGGGAACACCCGCAGCCCGCCAGCCCCGTGCTCGGCTCCCTGGGGGCTGGCAGGCAGAGCATCCCTCCGAGCCTGCCGGCCCGCGTCCTCACCGCAGCGGTCAAGCTGGAAGAACTCTCCAGGAGCCTGGACCGGGTGTTCCTGGCGCTGCCCAACCACTGCCTAGGCATGGCCCTCAGCAGCTTCTACGAGAACTACGAGACCCTGCGGTACTGCACCTCGTCCGAGGTCGCCGCCCACTACTGCCGGAAGTACCGTGAGTGTCTGCCGGCCCCAGAAGCCTCCTTCGCCTCCTCTGGGTGGTCCGGGCAGCAGCACCTCTGACCGGCCCCTCTCCTGCCATCTGGCTGGCTCCCACCCTCTGCAAGCTCAGCCCAGCTGCCCCTCTCCTGCTGCACCTCGGTGCTCAGATGCGTCTGTCCCGCCAGGCACTGCACAGGCAGGTCTCCCCCTCCCTGGCCCGCTCCCTCCAAACCAGCAGCCAGCAGTGCCCAGCGGACACTCAGTCCACCACCTCGTGCCAAGCGTGGGCTGTGGGCCAAGGCCTGTGTGGGCTGGGGGTGTCGGGAGGCCCCAGAGGGAGTGGTGGGGCGCGTGGTGATGCTGTGTCCTCGCCTCACAGACGTCGACTACCAGGAGAACTTCTACGCGTGGGGGGCCCCGGGCGTCGGCCGGTTCGTCACCTCCATGGCTGTCTCAGGCTTCGTCTACCTCACCCTGCTCTTCCTCCTGGAAACCGACCTGCTGTGGAGGCTGAAGAACCTCCTCTGTGCCTTCCGGGGCCGGCGCACACTGGTGAGCGCCTCCCTGCTGGGCTCGGGGGCATGTCCCGTGAGAGGGGTTGCTCCGCCTCCTGCCTCTGCAAGAAACGGAGAGGCTCTGTACCCTACGGCGCCCCCACAGAGGGGCTCCCCACAGTGGACACCCAGGCCCTGGCCACCAGGCAGGGCAGGGTCCACGCCCACCGTCAGCCACTGCCAGGCCACCCCCAGCCTGGGGGTCAGCTCTCAGCACTCGCAAGTGATGTCCCCAGTCCTGAGACCCTATGTCATGATGTGGGAGCACTGCTCCTCAGCAGAGGTCAGGCCCCCAGGTGCCCCGGGTCACCCAGCCTGGGGAAGGGGAGGCACCTGTGTCTGTCAGACCGTCCCAGGTGCATTTCCCACCTCCTCCCGCCAGCAAACCAACAAGCCCATGAGATCCGCTGGTTCGTGTGTAACTTAGGGCCCATCACTGCTGCCTCAGGATGTCAGCTCACCTCCCCCGTTAAGGCTTCCTTTGATGCCCTCAGGGAGTTTACGATCTTTCTCTGATGATCCTTCTCCGGACCCCTGGATGCTGACCCCAGGGCCTCGCCCATCCCAGCGGAAGCTCCGAGTCCGACTCGTGGGACTCAGACCGGCCTCCACTCCTACTTGGTCCATCAGACCGACCCCCTCCTGCCCCTCTGCCTGCCCCGGCTGGACCTCACCAGCCGTCTGTCTTGAATGCTAGACGGAGGCATACGGCCAGGCGCCAGCGCTGCCGGAAGACCAGGATGTGGCAGACGAGAGGAGCCGAGTGCTGGCCCCCACGCTGGACCCGCCACCGCAGGACCCGCCGCTGGTCATCCGGGAGCTCTCCAAGGTGACGCGTGGATGCCGGCCCACCCTAGGGTCTGCCTCGCGCGAAGCTAAGGGCCAGGCCCAGGGCAGCTCCGAGTCCCAGGCCTCCTCATCTGGTGTTTCGTCTGGCGGCGCAGGTGTACGAGCCACGGGCGCCCCTCCTTGCTGTGGACAAGCTCTCCCTCGCGGTCCAGAAGGGCGAGTGCTTTGGCCTGCTGGGCTTCAACGGGGCCGGGAAAACCACCACCTTCAAGATGCTGACCGGGGAGGAGACCATCACCTCAGGGGACGCCTTCGTTGAGGGCCACAGCATCCGCTCTGACCTGGGGAAGGTGGGCAGATGGGCCCTGCCCCAGGGAGGGCGCCCTGGAGGCAGGGATGGGCTGGTCTGGGCTCTCGGGGCACAGCACACGGTGGGGGGCAGCCTGACCAGGCCACGGGCCAAAGCCAGCTTGAGTGGCGAGGCAGGTAGACAGGAGGACCACCTAGGCCCAGGTTGGCCAGCAAGGCCGCTGCTCTGGGTCTGGGGGCAGTGCTATACAGTGTCCCCCAACTCCCCACACTCGTCCCGCTGCCCAGTCTGCATGAAGGATTCAGGCACAGTGCCAAGGGACAGGCAAACCCATTAAAAACAGTGCAGGAGCCTAAGAGCCCCCAGGAGGGCAGAGAAAAAGAAACCAGTCTCCAGGACCCACAGACCCCAGGCACACCTGTACCCCACCAGCTCTAAGGGCAGCTGGGTGGGTGGCGGCCACATGCGCGTTAGACCCGAGAGCACCGGGCAGAGTCGGGCTGTGCTGGGATGTGGCCACATACCCAAGAATGGCTATCCTGCCGTCTGACAGGGGTGCCCCTAGAGGTGCTGCCGGCAATCATCCATTTTGTCAGAGAGAAAGGAAGCGTGGTCCCAGCACTGATGAGAGGTCGCAGGGTGTGTGACAGGTGAAGGGACGCACGCTGCTCCCACCAGGCAGTTTTGCGTGATAGTCACTGTACAGTCGATGAAGCTGTTCTCATACAGCCCGTCCCACGGCTGCTGGCCATCACCCAGGTTGCCAGCTGGCCCTCCTGGCCTAACCCTGACCCCTTGCGGTGGGGTCCCAGTGGTGGCACGCCCAGTGAGCAGCTCTGAGGGCAGCTGTTGGCACCTCCCAGCCTGCTATGCCCTTCCCGAGTCCCCTCAGAGTGCCGTTCAGCCCAGGTCCCTGAGAGGAACCGCTAGGTCCTGCCGCCCAGCTCGACGGACCGCTCAGAGAGACGTTCCAGCCTCAGAGACAGGCTGGGGCAGGAAGGCGCCTTTCTGCTTTCCCATCTCCCTCTCACAGCTCCCTTCCGGGCTGTCTGACCCTCAGGTGCGGCAGCGCATCGGTTACTGCCCTCAGTTTGACGCCCTGCTGGACCACATGACAGCACGGGAGACGCTGGTCATGTACGCCAGGCTCCGAGGTGTCCCGGAGCGCCACATCGGGGCCTGCGTGGAGAACACACTGCGGGGCCTGCTCCTGGAGCCACATGCCAACAAGCTGGTCAGGACCTACAGGTGCGCCTGCTGGCCCTGCCTTTCCCAGGGTGGGATCGGCATCCCCCTGAGCACAGAACCGGGACGCCCACATGGGTCTGCGGCTGGAGTCCCGTGGCCCCAGAACCAGGGGTTGGGGTCTCGTAGCTGGATCCAGGCCCCAGACAGTGCCACGTGAGGCTGCAGAGAAGCCACCTGCAGACAGGACCGCTGGCAGGTGACGAGGGCCCATGGAGGCCCCGTTCAGCACAGGGAGTTTTCAGGGGCCCCCAGCCTGTGAGGTGGGCCTTCCGGGATTGGCTCACCTGCCTCCTCCACCTGGCACCTGCAATCCCGGGACTCGGTTCTGCTGAGACCCAGGAGCACGTGCAACTGTCAGCCTTGTCCCACGGCCCCTCTGCCCTCAGTGGTGGTAACAAGCGGAAGCTGAGCACCGGCATCGCCCTGATCGGAGACCCCGCGGTCATCTTCCTGGACGAGCCATCCACTGGCATGGACCCCGTGGCCCGGCGCCTGCTCTGGGACACGGTGGCACGGGCCCGTGAGTCCGGCAAGGCCATCGTCTTCACCTCCCACAGGTAGAGCCCGGTCTCTCGGGGTCAGTGGGGGGGCGGGCTCTGCCTCCTGGGACACGCTGAGCGTGGGAATCAGGAAGGGCCAGCCTTTGGCCTCGCAGCGTGCGTCCGCCCCGTCTCAGGCCTGCCCGCCTCTCCCCCAGCATGGAGGAGTGTGAGGCCCTGTGCACCCGGCTGGCCATCATGGTGCAGGGCCAGTTCAAGTGCCTGGGCAGCCCGCAGCACCTCAAGAGCAAGTTTGGCAGCGGCTACTCCCTGCGGGCCAAGGTCCGGGCCGACGGGCAGAAGGCAGCACTGGAGGAGTTCAAGGCCTTCGTGCACCTGACCTTCCCAGGTGTGTGCGGCCAGCCTGCTGGGTGGGCCGAGGGCATCTCCCCGACCCCTGCCACCCACAGAGGGGTCTGGGCCTCGCCCCTGCTGAGTCCCACATCCCGGACCCCAGCACTCACGGGGGCTCGGTCTCTCCCTGTGCCCCTGCCAAGTCCCACATCTCAGACCCCAATGCTCACGGGCACTCGGTCTCCCCTGTGCCCCTGCCGAGTCCCACATCTCAGACCCCAATGCTCACGGGCACTCGGTCTCCCCTGTGCCCCTGCCGAGTCCCACATCTCAGACCCCAATGCTCACGGGCACTCGGTCTCCCCTGTGCCCCTGCCGAGTCCCACATCTCAGACCCCAATGCTCACGGGCACTCGGTCTCTCCCTGTGCAGGCAGCGTCCTGGAGGATGAGCACCAGGGGATGGTCCACTACCACCTGCCCAGCCACGGCCTCAGCTGGGCAAAGGTGAGTACACCAGGCCTGGCTGGGATAGTCCCCTCCAGCTGTCACCCCGCCCCCACAGTTTCTCCTCTAAGAGGGACCTGGTACCTGCTGCGCTCTGAGCTTTATACCCAGGGTACTTGAGTTGAAACGAGGCCAGCGAACAAAAAGGAAACCAACTCAAGGTCACACCGAGCTAGGAGCAGAGCTGGAGGACGCGCCCCCCCCAACCCCACCCCACACACAGACACACCCTGCCCAGCCAGGCCCTGCCCCAGGAGCACAGCAGGGGGCCCCAGGACTGACTGCCTGCAAGCGCTCAGGACGAGGCTGGGGCCTTGTCACCTCCTATTGCAGAGGGACCCCCAGGCCCAGCACCTTCCTAGTGGGGGCCCTGGAGAGCGGCTGAGCCCCATCCCCAGACCCTCTGTGCCTTCCTCCCAGACCCGGCGCCTGTGACCGTGGCGTGTCTGCTTCCCACAGGTGTTTGGTGTTCTGGAGAAGGCCAAGGAGAAGTACAGGGTGGACGACTACTCCGTGAGCCAGATCTCGCTGGAGCAGGTCTTCCTGAGCTTTGCCCACCTGCAGCCGCCCGCCGGGGACGAGGCCCGGTGAGGCGGGCATCCGGTCCCCGAGCTTGCCGCATCCTGCACCTTCACTTCTTCCACCTTTCTACGACAGAGACGGAGCAACCGAGGCGGCGCAGGCGCTGTGGACTGAGTTTCTCACGCCGCATGCTGGGGAACAGCGTGTCGATAATGACCTCTGAACCAGGTCCCCCAAGCAGGGGCGGCCTTGCGCCAGCGCGTGGGCTCCAGCAGAGAGGCGCTGCCCACCAGGGGGGTTTGGAATTTTCTACCTAGTGGAGTCTCCATGTTTCCACGCAGCACTGCGCTCTCCCTGAGGGGATGAGCAGCCAGCAGGATGGGTCACAGCAAGGCATGCCTGGCCACCATGGGTGACAGATCTCAGCTGCAACTGGGGCGTGGGCCTCTGCATGGGCACAGCCCAACCCAAGTTTGGGCATCACCCCAGGAGAACCTTCTGAAACCTGCCATTATGGTGTGGGAAGGGGTCTTCTGTTTCTGACACACCCCTGAGAGGTCGCCGGCCAGGCAAGTCAGAGGGACCGCTGCAGGGACTTGGCAGCCACCTTTGCGGATACACTAAGCACACCATGGCTGTGTCCAGAAAAGAAAGGCTGAGAGGGAGGCCAGACATGTCTGTCACCCTACACACACAGACACAGACAGACACAGACAGACACAGACAGTACACACACAGACACACAGACACAGACAGACACAGTACACACACAGACACAGACAGACACAGACAGTACACACAGACACAGACAGAGACACACAGTACACACAGACACAGACGCACAGTACACACACACACAGACGCACAGACACACACACACACACAGACACAGACACACAGACACACAGACACACACAGACACAGACACACACACACACACAGACACACACACACACACACACAGACAGACACACACAGACAGACAGACAGACAGACACACACACACACACACACACACACACACACACGGTAACAGAGTCCCAGGGCCAGCGCACCTTCCCAGGAGCCTCCTCACCCTGCAACCCCAAAATAAGGCTGACGTTTGGACAAACAAGGAGAACTTATTTTCCCACTGGGTACTAGACGTGCAGAACCCCCCATCCTGAGCTGGGAGGATAAGCAAAACACCAGTGAAAAGGTAGCTCGGAAAAGGCTGAGTGACAAATGCTTAGTCCCTGATCAAGGAGGGAGGGGTAGCGGGCCCTGCTCCTCAGGCAGCCTGGTGGGCAGGAGGCGCCGGGCCCCTCCGGAACGTGACTCTTCTTTAACATCACTCCCTTTTATTTATGCACCACTGTTCTTACAGTTTTCTAAAACTCTGTGATTTAAATCTCTGTGCCTTTCACCCTCCCCTTCCCCCCTTAGAACTCACAGCTTTAGGCAAGACTCGACTTAATCACTTTCAGGACAATTTCAGATTTGCATTTTTATCAGTCTCTCCAAGTTTACCAACCTGGCACATGGTCTCCCTTCACGCTCTCGTCATTTAGTTTCATGTAATAAGAAATAAATTTAGGGGTGCTTGGGGCAGAAACACCACCCAAAAGCAGATTTCTCCTCTGGCCACTGGCCTTGGCATAGGCTCGGCCAGCTGATGGGTTGGGTTTGTGGGTACATGGCGCCCACTGGCGGCCTGACCGTGGCCACCCTCCCTGCCTCCTGCCTCCTGCCACCTCTCCCGCAGCCCCCAGCCCAGATGTGCACTCCAGGAAGGGGTGTGGCAAGGCGCTGGGGGCTGAGGAACAGCCTGGACAGGGCGCAGAGGCTGGGCACCATGGACGCCCGTCGAGGGCAGGACAAAGCCCTCAGCAGAGGACTTTATATGGGGACGGTCCCCAAGAGAGAGGACTTTGATGCAGAGACTCGGCAAAGCACAACACACTGGTTTCTTGCTGGGCAAATTCCAAACCCAATCCTTAATCCAGGATTCGGGGGCCAAGAGTCCCAGAAGCACATCTGAGGGTGGCATCCCGGGGTCTGGGCAGGGGAGCAGCTGCCTGCCAGCCCACAGCCTCCTTTCCTGCCCCTCCCCCGCCTGGCCTGCCCACTACCTTGAACACAGAGGTGAGGCTGATGTTGTGGACAGAGGGGGGTTTTCTGGACCCCCCAGTCTGCTCTGAGGCACAGCTCCAGGCGAGGTACGACTGAGGGCCCTCGCAGCCGTCAAACCTGACACTGGCAGGGCCAGAGACCCGAAGTCCCGAAGGCCTCAGCCCCGCCGCCTGCAGCCTTGTCGGGGTTCCGCCTGAGGGCATCGTCGCCCAGGCTGTTCAGTCTGCCGTGGGGATGGGCACAATTCAGACCTCACTCCACAGCGGCTCAGTGTAAGGGTAAACACCACCATGCTGGCCTCCTGCAGACAGCTCATCCCTGGGGAAGTCCCTGTGCAGGCAGCCTGGGCTCTACCCCCCGCCCCCGACAAGGACCACAGCTCGTGGGGGTGGCCTGAAGGGGTCCCTAGAGGGAATGTGACATGTTAGTCCCACACTGAAGTCAGTTTTCGGCGGCTCAGCCCGTCTCCCACAGGTGAGGCTGGCCGGCAGCAGGGGGGCATCCTCACCCTCTGCACACAGGCCCCCCTCCCAGAACCCTGGCTCAGGTGGCCCCCAACCCTGCCATGCTGGGCCACCTGGGAGCCTGGGGGTTCCTGCAGCCCCTTCCCTTCGCTGAGGTCAGCCACAGATCTGCCTGATCCTCACCTGACACACCCATGGGGCCTGGGCTGCAGGCAGGAGGAGGGAGCTGAAGCTGGGGGCTCGGGCCCAGGGAGCGGGGGCCCTGCCTTCCTTCCTCAACACACGGGGCTGCCCAGGCCCCGCTCCTGGGGCCCGGCCCATACCCCATCGGCGCCCAGTAGGTGCCTCCCAGGTCAGAGAAGCTCCACGTCGACTGGCAGTAGGCGGCGACACACGGAGGGCCAGGTGCATAGGGCAGCACAGTCCAGACCACCAGCCTGAGGGTGGGCTCTGAGAGGCCACTGGGCCACGGAGGATGTGGGCAGGGCATTCTGCTTTAACATGAGTGCGCGCTCAACTCAGCTGCCCCAAATTGTGACGGGTGACCCTGCCCTGGGAAAACCCCTTCATGTCCTCCGCCAAGACACTGGCCCAAGCCTGAAGGTGTGCCACAGAGCTCCAGGGCCCGGGTGGCTGCCAAATGCCCTGTCCACGCAAGCCCTGCCCCGCCCCCACCCCTCCATGAAACCAGGGCCAAAGACCCCCTGAGGTCCCCCAAGGGCCCCCATGGCCTCAGCAGGTTGGCACTGGGGACCGGAGGAGGAAAGCTAGAACTCCTAGGGGGCACAGTTCACAGAGTTCTCTTTTCTTTCTTTCCGAACACATTTCTGCTGCTCCTCAAAATGGCAAAAACCAGGATGCTCAATTTTTAAAGCTCAATGACTGATAGCACACTTTATAACAAAAAGCAGTAATATTTAGAAACAAACTCAAATTCATAAGTGTCTAGATAAATCATGCTTTCAAGTTTAACATAAAAAGTGTTGTTTTAAACGCGAGCCAAAGTAAATGACTTTAAATAATTTTTTTTAAAGATGACAAGGGGCGCTGTTGGCCTAGCTGCACCCTGTCCTCCACCCTCCTCTCGCCACGCTAGGGTCCTCTGGCTGCCCCCTCCCCACCTGAGAGATCAGTGCAGCCCTGTGCACAGGCTCTGGGTTCCAGAATCTTCCCACAGGCGCTGATAGCTGCCTTGGGGTTTGTGGAGTCCTCTCTGCCACCGCCTCCACACAGACCAACACGCTGCTGCCTGCCTGGACCACCAAGCCCACCCCATTCCTCCAGGCATGCCCTTCTGTTCCAAGGACCCCTCAAGCTGGCCATGGCAGGGGATGCGCTGTGACATCGGTGCAGAGGTTAACTCGTTCCAACTGTCCCCACGTCAAACCTAGCACCCACCCCACCCCCGATGGGGCACACTTCTCCTCTCTGGCTATCTTTTGTCCTCCAACTCCTCAGACCCCCCGTGGCTGGGGGTGACGTGTTAAAGGTGCACGTGACACCCTGGATGGGGCCAGAGGGGCTGGGGGAGTCGCCATCACTGGCTGGAAAAATCACACACAGGACAAAGCAATGACTTCCAAACCACGTTCACATGCATCTATCCAGGGTCACCAAGCCTCAGCCTGGACTCCTTCCTATACTTCCCCGCCCCCGACCGAATCAGTTACCAAGTCACCTTGGCTCCTTCCTCCAACGGAATCGGCTTGGATTTGTCCCCTACTCTCTTCCTTGTTGCCACCAGGCTGTCAGACAACGGTCACCACAGGCTGAGCCCACTTTCGCTCCTTCCTTTAATAATTATGGAGCAACAACTAATTGCCAGACACAGAAAGTGACACTGGAGACACCGCGGGATACACACCCGCGCGGCCCTGGCCCTCTGGGCGCCAGGTTTTCAAACTGCAGAGCCTCCTGCCCGGGCTGGGGCCCCACACCCTTCCGCCCTCCTTGTTTCTGCCTCTCCTCCCCTCTTCCGACGTGCCCGGCGCCCTGGAAGCTGCTGTTCCACGTGCCGGACACGCCTTTCCACTCAGGCCACCTCCTCGGAGCTCCCTCCCCTTCCACCAGCCTGCGGCTCCTCCGCGTTTCTGGCTGCACCGCCCGCCAGCCTCGCCCTCTGGGCCGCGTCTACCCGGTCACCCTGCAGAACCGCGACGCTTGGACCGCAGAAACCCACGCTCCGCACGGGCCTGCCCCTCCCAACCGCCTCAGTCCTGCAGGCCCCCACGGCCGGGCGCCCACCCCCACTCTAGGATTCTCGGCCGTCGTCGGCTCTCGGTGCGCCCCGCCTAGCGCGCAGGCGCGAAGAGGGGCGGGGTCCGTTGCGTTAACCCCTCCCGCGCCGGCTCTAAAGTGGGCCCCGCGGCCTGGCTCTCCAGGCCCCAGCAAGCCGCTCACCTACCCGCAGCAGAAGTCACACAACCAGCCCAGGACCGCGCAGGAGACTCGTCCAGTGGAGAAAATGAAGTCAGCACCCCCGCCGCTCTCCCCACAAATGGCCGTAGCCCTTTACAACGCTCTCCGCCCGCGCCCATTGGCTGCGGTGTTCTTGCGTCATCGCTGTGCGCCGTACGACGGCGCCTTCCCGCTCCTTAACCCTGACGACAGAGCGGCGCCAGCCTTGGCGGCTGAGGAGAGCGGGAGGAGGTGGCGTCGGCTGGAAGATGTAAGTTGGTGGAATCCGACCCCATCCGAGTTTCACCGGCTGCCCGCCAGGCTTGGCGGGGCAGATCGTGGAGAACTGGGCCGCTCCTCAGCCCGCGATGATGGCCGCGGCCTGGCGGCGCGGGGTTTGAGGAGAAAGAGTGGGCCAGGGCGGGCGGAGTGGGAGGCGCCGAGGCCGCGGCCCGGAAGTGGTTGGGGCCGCCGCAGATGGAAGGGCCGCTGGACTCGAGAAGCCCGAACGTGGGCCTCCGCCCGCGGGCAGTGCCCTGGGAGCTCCCGCGGCCCAGACTCGGCGGGGTTTATGAGTGAATGCGGTTGGGGGACGGCGAGGCCAGCGGCCCAGGCTGAGGCCGGTGGGAGCGGAGCGGCTTTGTGGGCCGCCCTGGAAGACAGGGCGACCCTCCCTCGGGGTCATTCATCCACACCTTCCCTACCTTCCCTCCACGAGCGTTGACCGAGCTCCTGGCGCTGTTCTCGGTGCGAGGCCCGGGGACTGAGACGCCCCCCACCTCCTGCCCGTCACAGAGCTCAGTTTGGCGCGTTACCCCAGAAGGGAGGCTACGGGAAGGTTAAGGTCAACGGAGAAGAGACGTAGAACAGGCTGCTTCTGTCTCTGTTATTTCTAGCATGAGTTGTGCCTAAAATGTGTTTTTAAATGGGGAAAGTTGCTCTGAAGATGTGAGCTGAAACGCCCTCCTCTCTGCTCGACACTTTACTAATTGTTCTCTCCTCTCTCTGGCTGTTGGACGCGCACCTTTCCGGAGGATGGGGGAGGTGACCGAGGTCCTGGCCTGTTACCTGAACTCGTGTGAACAGAGAACCTCAACCTTTGCTTTCTAGCACTCGGCCATACCCAGCAAAGCGTTCAAACTGTGGTTCTTGATTTTTAGAGTGCTTAAGAATAAACGGGGGATTGCAACCATTGTCACAAAACAATGTGTTTATAAATTTTTGAAGGAGAAATTAACTTGACCTGTAAATTTTTACCTAAAGCCCAGTGAAAAATTTTTTAAACCCTGTGGGGCAGTTTCTCATGGGGTCACTATGAAAAAAGAATAAAAAAATAAACGATGGTGTTTGTTTTTACGCAGTGCTCTGGGAGGAGAGGGGCTCTGCTCTCAAGATCGCTAGGACTGGGGCGAGGGCCCAGAAGTCTGCATGTGTGGCCTGCAAGTGCATCTGCGCTGTCCAACACAGTAGCCACTGGCCACTTGTAGCTCTTGAGCACTTGAGATTAACTAGTCCGAATTTAAACTATGAAAGAATGTAAAACATTTTTCTCAATATTTTTTTCTATTAATGTTGAAAGGTAATACAGGCAGTCCCCAGATTACAAATGAGTTCTGTTCCTAAGTCTGTCTTTAAGCCCAATTTGTACATAAGTCTTAACACTTAGATATGGTTCATATCTAACATCAAATGTTGGTCTTTGTATATATACTGTACTTTTTTATGCATAAACAATGTGAAAGAAATACTTCCAGATACACTAAAATATCCTTAACGTAATATAATAATAATGATGTTTTGATGCACATCGCAAAGTAATGCCCATTTGTTATTATGAACCATTGTATGTACCTCAAATTTTTAATGTACAGTAATAGGCTTTACGAGGTTTGGTTCGTAACGTGATATGTAAGTTGGACGTTCATAACCCAGCAACTGCCTGTATAGTTTTTTAAATAAGATACATTGCTTGAAGTTGATTTACTTGTTAATTTTTACTTTTTGAAACGTGTCCACTAGGAAAATTTGCATTATGCTTGGGCTCACGTTCTATCTCTATTGGACAGCACTGCAGTGTGGTCCTGATGTGGGCTTTCCAGGGACCTCTGTTGAGCGTTCAGAAGTTGTGTGTGACTTTGGAGATGAGCGTATCTAGGAAGAGAGCCTCCAAGTGTGGAGAAACAGCCTTTTCTTGAAATAATAACTAATCTTTATTGAGGCGCCCTGGTGGTGCAATGGTTAAGCACTTGGCTGCTAACCGAAAGGTTGGCAGTTTGAACCCACCAGCCGCTCCAAGAGAGAAAAGACCTGACAACCTGCTCCTGCAAAGATTTTAGCCTAGGAAACTCTGGGGGGCAGTTTTACTCTGTCCTGTAGGGTCCCTGAGTCAGAGTCGACTCAGCTGCACGCCACAACAACAATTACTGAGACTGGACAATGTGCCAGGTCTCTGTTGCAGATTAATTCTGTTAATGCCCTTTATAATCCTTTGAGATGAGAACTGTAATTGTCACTGTATTGCCAATAAGATACTGAGGTTCAGAAAGGCTAAGTGACTTATCCAAGGTCATGCAGCTAAGCCTCAAATCAAACCCAGGCAGGTCGAGTCCAGACTCTGAATTATACTCACTGATTGTCCAGCCGCACTAACCTGCCTGCTGGATGTCTCTAGTACCTTATTGTTCTAAGGCAAAATATTTTTTAAGGCTTCCACAGAAGGAGCTCTCTTCTACGCTAATTTGACTCCACAGCCAGGGTCAGATCACTTGTTCTTGCAGCATCCCTGCTAGGGGCACTCCTGCACGTGTGGACACAGGATCCGGGTGGTGTGCTGTGTCCAGACTTACGGGCGATTGAGAAAGGTGAGGCAGAAGTTGGGACTGGTATCCTGAGATCTTTGCTTCCACCTCCAGCAAATTGTACCAAACCTCACTGGAACTATTAGAGGCTGCAATCCCCAGGAAATAAGGGCACATAGCTAATTACTACTTTGTTTTTGAGTAGTATTTATTAAAATTTGTTGAGCATATACCATATGAGATACATGCAGTATCTCATCCAATTCCAGTATCTTTAAGTTTTTCCCCAATGTTGTGAAAATTTCAAACATGCAGGAATTATATAATGAATTGTACAGTGAATACCCGCACAACCACCCCCTTAGATTTTCTTGCATTTTAAAGTAAATTACGGATTTTAGTACATTTCTCTAACCTCACGTGCACGTGATTACTTAAACGTCAGTAGTCGGAATGACTTTTTCAAGTGCTCTTTTACTGCTTTTTTAATGTCATAATGGAACATTTTGTCTGTCTGTGTTTGGGTGATGTTCTGAGGCTGCTACCAGTCACTTGTGAAATGGTTTTTGCTTCTAGTCATACCATGTCCAATGAATCCTAAAAAGAAACTACAGCAGTAAGACAATAAGTCTAACCCTATAAGGAGAGCCACACTTGTAGGTTTTTCTCTGTTCTGCATGCAAATGTGCTGTAGTATTTTTAAGGAACTGTAGAGGGTTCATCGTTGAACTTACGAGTGAAAAGCTGGTATTGTACAACCTATAAAGTGACAGTGACAGGTCCCACCTCCGCCCCCATCTCCTTAAAAAACACCAGCTGAGGTTACAGTTCTCCTTGAGCCTTCTGTGGGGGCGGAGACTTGTCATGCAGAGATGGTGACTGTCCCGGTGGGTCCCTCACTGTGTGGATGCTGTTGCTCACTGTGTTTCCTTGCCGCCTTCTCGTGTGCTCAGCTTTTTACTGCAAAGTAGATTTGTTGCCTTGTCAATCCATTCACTCTCGATCCTTTTATCTTGTTATTAGGCTGCTCTTTGGCGTAAATTGCAATCGATTAGGGATCGTTTCTCAGAATCGAGTTAGAGGTGAGAGTTCAGATAAGTGAGGCCGCCATTGCTGCTTTGAACACCTCAGAAGGGGAGAATGGATTTATCAGGAGTGAAAAAGAAGAGCTTGCTAGGAGTCAAAGAAAATAATAAAAAGTCCAGCACTAGGTAATCCTGCCAGATTTTTCTAGTGCTACTGTGGGGGTGCGCACTGCTAGGGACCCTGAGCAAGGGGACAATTGGAAATGTGCGTGTCATGACCATGAATCACCTCGCCCTGGGGTTATCCGGGATCTCTGTGGCCCCTCTGGATCCCCTCTTGGGTTGTGCTGTTGTTTCAGGGTGTGGTCAAGCAGGCGTGCGTTCTCACACTCTTCCCTCACCATCCAGGGCTCCTTCTCCTACCAAGCGCAAAGACCGCTCTGACGAGAAGTCCAAGGACCGCTCTAAAGATAAAGGGGCCACCAAGGAGTCGAGTGAGAAGGACCGTGGCAGGGACAAAACTCGAAAGAGGCGCAGTGCGTCCAGTGGTAGCAGCAGTACCAGGTGGGGCTGGCTGGCCTAGGCCTCGAGGGCCTCACGGCTCTTCTCCCCAAACACCCCACACCCGACTGTGACACAGACCCTAGTGGGTGGCAGGCTGGTTTGGGCTTTGGTCTGGTCATATGTAGGAGATGGTGTTTGAGTTTCTCTTTTTTGGAGATATTAAGGAATATGAAAATGGGCATTTGTTTTTCTCTGAAAGTGCATTTTATTCAAAGTCGTGGTTGGATTGCAGTAGCCCAGAGCATATCATTCATCCTAGTTGAAACCCAGCCTAAGTCCATCAGCAGCCACCTTGCTGATCTAAGCTGGTGGCTTGGAACTTCTGCCAGGCTCCTCCTTGGCCTCACAAAAGGAAAGGCTTCTCTGTTGGTAGAAAGCAGCTTGCTCCTGTCCTGTCACCGGCTCCATATGGAGGAGGCTTTCTGTCCCTGCCGAGGCCTTTGTCCTGGGGCTGCACGTGTTCCCTTTTCTTGCCCGCTTGGGAGAGAGGGGGCTCAGGATTCAGAGCACACCCGCGTCCCCCTCTCGAGAGGTGTGGTAGACTTGTCGAGGAGGGTCTCTGCTGTCGGGGGACGTGGCTCCCTCGCCAGCCCCCCTTGATGCCCCCCTGCTTGCCCCTAGGTCTCGCTCCAGTTCCACATCCAGCTCGGGCTCCAGCACCAGCACAGGTTCCAGCAGTGGCTCCAGCTCATCCTCGGCGTCCAGCCGCTCGGGCAGCTCCAGCACGTCCCGCAGCTCCAGCTCCAGCAGCTCGTCGGGCTCCCCAAGCCCTTCCCGGCGCAGGCACGACAACAGGCGGCGATCCCGCTCCAAGTGAGCAGCCTCACACCTCTGCTCAGCTGACGGCGCGTTCTTGGGAGCTCACGCGTGCACGCTGGGGGCGGTAGACCTACTGTGGTTATTATGAAAGTAGACAGGAAGGGGGTCTTGCTGTTGTCCTAGGACTTCTGAGGTGGGGGCGATAGGTGTGAATTGCTAGGGAACACTTCCATAGAAAAAGCTGTTGGCCTACAGTTATTATCCCCGCTGAAAAGGAGTCCAGTATGTTTTCACTTGACAGAAATTGTTCCTGCGTGTTTTCCCTCAATCAGATCCAAACCACCCAAAAGAGATGAAAAGGAACGGAAGAGGCGGAGTCCTTCCCCTAAGCCCACCAAAGTGCACATTGGGAGACTCACCAGGAATGTGACCAAGGTGAGACACCATGCACCCATCCCACAGGTGGCGCATGCCTGTGGCATCTTAACATTGAAACGTGTGGAGAAGCAGCCGTGCCGGAGGGTGAACTGAGAACGCCACCTTTCGGGGACTGATTTGGTGGCCCGTGGTTCACGTAGAGCAGTGATTAGATGAGTTACAGCACGTCCTTTGGAGGGTTGTACACGTGTCTGGAAGACACAGCCCAAAATGTCAGTGGCTGTCCTCACAGAGGACTGTCCGTGCCCCCCCAGGGTGTCAGGTGTTCCAGGAGATTTCTCTCTAACGCCTGAGCCTGCCGGTGGTGGGAAGGCATTCGGGTGACCCCTCTTCCCCTCCAGGACCACATCATGGAGATCTTCTCCACCTACGGGAAGATTAAAATGATCGACATGCCTGTGGAGAGGATGCACCCCCACCTGTCCAAAGGCTATGCCTATGTGGAGTTTGAGAACCCGGACGAGGCCGAGAAGGCGCTGAAACACATGGACGGAGGTGGGTGACCCCCAGCACCCCTCAGGCCTCCCCTGTCCACAGTGGCCGGCCGGCCGCTCCACGCGGGGACCGTTAGAGCCAGCTTGCGGCCTGGTTGCGTGTCAGCACCTCCCTGGAGCTCTTTGGGGATTCTGACTCCTACTCAGTGGTGTGTGTTTACCCAAAACATGTTTTATGGAACGTTATTCTTGAAAAAAAATTCAGAAGATATGAATATATTTGTACTTTAAGAAATTTTCAGTCTGTAAAGAGCTTAAGAATCAAATGATGATTGCAGAATATATTATGAATATAACAAATGAAAAATTTGGCTTTTTATATGGAAACATTTCCTTTAATCCTTCCTGAGTCATCGTATATTTTGTTAACATTTTAGCATTTTTAGGATTATTTGGCTGAGTGACCAATTTAGTGATCTCGCCCCTTTCTCCAAAACTTGGATCTTCTAACCATTGATAACGCTTAGAGCCGTTTCTGTTGCGGGGAGTGGTTTTCACAGCGTCCCCGCGCTTGTGAGTGGTTTGGGGGTGGCCAGTTTTCATTTTGTCTTCAGGTTGGCATTTTAAGGAATGTGGGGTTTGTGTCTGCTCAGCATCCTGCTACTGTCATCTACGCAGCTGGGGCAGGGACAGCACCCAGAGTCATCTGGCCTCAGACTCCGCCAAGGCCCTATTGGGAACTTTGTAAAGAGGAAAGCAGTTTGTTACAGCATTGCCTTTGAGCCCCAGTAGAGTTTAGATATTAGGACATTTTTCTTTGACATTAGCGAGCTCCTGTTGACTTAAATTTACTGAAATCCAGCTGAGGGACGTTGGAGTTCAGTGTAAGGTGTGGTGCGGCACTCTGCACACATACCAGCTCCGTGGTCCTGTGAATTGTGCCTTCCACTCAGACTGACAGGCATGTCGTATTTGATGGTCTGGGCGCTTGCTGAAAACTTCAGAGACTCGGACAAGTCCCCACTGTGGAGGATTAAAATATACCAAAGTTTCTTAACATTCTGGTAGGGTGTGTGCGTCTGCCCTGAATGTGCTGTGCACGCTGTCTCCAGGAGGAGGCGTGGGGGTGGGCCATCCAGCGGGGGGCCAGAAGGTGGCCTTGTCTCTGTTAGCACATGGTCAGTGCCACGGACTCTGGTTTGGGTTGTTTGGGGCGGTGGGTTAGGGCCACCTTAGGCTAAGTTTCCTTAAGTGGAGACTTCTGTGTGCGTTCTAAACTCAAATTCAGGTGCTTAGTTCTCCTGCCGGTACCTTTCCTGGGGGGAGAAGAGCCCTTGTGCCCCTTTGGGAGACAGAGGGGCTGTGCCTGGGCTCTGCCCATGATGCCCCTTCCTGCCTGGCGCACCATCATGAAGTACTTTTGTTCAGTACTTTACAGCTTGGTCCTTTCTCCACAGGACAAATCGATGGCCAGGAGATCACGGCCACAGCTGTGCTGGCGCCCTGGCCTAGGCCGCCCCCCCGGCGATTCAGCCCCCCTAGGAGGATGCTGCCGCCACCCCCCCTGTGGCGCCGGTCACCCCCCCGAATGAGGAGACGGTGAGTGGGTCTTCGAGTGTCACGGGGCGCTGATGGGCTACAGATGGAGCATGAGTGTGAGGTTGGGCCCTCTATTCAGCCTCCCCCTTTCTGGTCCTTCGTTGGGGGCGTGGGGAAAGCAGGGTTCCCATGGCCCTTTGAGGCTCCTCAAGTCCGTTCCAGCTGGGAAAGGTGGGAGGAGGGCAGTGATTGGAGTGGATGGCAAAAGATGAGGTCCTGGGGGTACACTTTGATGTGGCATTTCCAAGAGACTTCTGGATCCTGCGCCACCAAATGCAGTCCCCTCTCTGTTCCCAGTTAGGATGGATCCAGAGGGGGGATAGGGGAGGCGGCGGCTTTGGTCAGAGCAGTAGCGGGGGGGTGGGGGTGCTGATCCCCTCGTCAAGCCCGAGGCCAGCCTTCCCTTGCTCATGGTTGAGCTGCGGTCTCTGCACGCTTGAGAGGAGGGAAGCCTGAGGTGGTGCTGTCAGTCTGGACAGCGTCTGTCTGCCTTCCCAAGGGCTCCACGTCAGTCCTTCAAACGTCTGTGAAGTCAAGTTGTACGGAGTTCCTGAAAGAAGCCAGCTTGAACCCTGGGGTCCAGGTGCTGGGTGTTGGCCAGACATCATGTTTGTTGGTTTCTGACACCCTGTCTCGTCCTCCTTGCAGGTCCCGCTCTCCACGACGCAGGTCCCCCGTGCGCCGGCGGTCCCGGTCCCCCGGCCGCCGCCGCCACCGGAGCCGCTCCAGCTCCAACTCCTCCCGATAAAGCAGGGCTGCAGAAGCTCCTCACCCCCTGTAACTTAGTTCCCCCCAGCCCAGTGCTGCCACACTTCTAGCCGGAGGGGGACGGGCAGGAGGGGGGATCCCTTGCTTCAGGGGGCAGGCTTCTCAGGCAACAGTTAGGACATTTCCTCTGAGTCTGGCTGCAGACATGTTGTTGGTTTGGGGCTGTGCCTGTAAAGATGTCCTTCAGTTTTCCAGCCGGAAGGCCCATCGGTTTCCAGTTCCCGAGAGAGAGTTGGTTCAGCAGCAAAGCCCGCAGGGACATGCCAAGCTGCAGGGCGCAGTGCTGCCCAGTTGGGGACACAGTTTGTCCTCCACACATGGCCTGGGACCAGTCTGATGATCTGCTTGCAGCCCTTCAAGAAAGACAAGGAGGAGCCGTGAATCAGCCTGCCCGGGTCCCCCCACCTCTCGGTCACAGCAGCCCAGTGGAACCTGCTTCCTGTCCATTGGTGTGGGCTCAGACCCCACACACCCGCGTCTCCCCTCTCTCTCTCTGAAACTGGTGAACAAGCTGAGAACCAGCTCTGCAGGCCGTCTGGAGCCAGCCCGCATCTCTCCCCCACGGTGGTTTGGCAGGTTAACTCCGCAAAGTGTACATTGCTTTTCTGGCATCTGTTGTACAGTCAGTACTATAAAATTTGTTTTGAGTTTTGTAACTTTGTAGCATTTTAGAGGATGTTGTGTTTGTACTTTCTGTAGAACGAGAGGGTTGTATTGAATAAATCTGGAATTAGAAGGCAGAGCAGATACTGCTGGTTTCACTCTCTCCGTCCTGTTCCTTTTGACCTTCGCCGGGAGGGATACAAAAACAGTGTTTCTAGTGTCTGAATCACTGAAGGTCAAAGTCACACCTCCAAAAATTCAAGCAGTAGGATGCGTGGTTAGGTGCACCTTGAGTGCTGCGTTGCTCCTTGTGGGCAGACACATCTCAGAAGGAGATGTTCTTGCTACCTTTATATTCCCAGAAGCTTAGAACCCTGCCTCACAGGAAGCACCGACGGCATTAGGAAGGCAGCTGTGGAAAACGTTTCCACCTCAAAACTTGGCCTGTGCTAGTGTCCAGGAACAGGCATCTGGCCCATACCACACTGCACAGAGCCCCCCAGCCGGGCTTCCTAACAGTGGTCTCGGAGTCACAACAACCTGGCTGGTGTCTGGGGCCACATCCCCCTGCAGGTGGTGGGATTGCTCGAGAAGGCTCAGTAGATCACCTTCTCTGATTAGGTGTTTGTCACCAGTCCCCAAAGGCCCTTTCTCGACACTTTATAAGCTCACATCCCTAGGGCTCTGGAAAACTCCATGACTTCTGTGACTTACACTGTGCAATCAGCCCCCAGCCCCGCACTCTGTCCGTGACTTCCGTGATTTACACTCTAGATCAGCCCCCAGCCCCACACTCTGTCCGTGACTTCTGTAATTTACACTCAAGATCAGCCCCCAGCCCGCACTCTGTCCGTGACTTCCCTAACTTACACTCTGGGATCAGCCCCCAGCCCGCACTCTGTGACTTCCCTAACTTACACTCTGGGATCAGCCCCCAGCCCCGCACTCTTTCGGTGACTTCCCTGACTTACACTCTGGGATTCCCCCCCAGCCCCACACTATGTCCGTGACTTCCCTGACTTACCCTCTAGATCAGCCCCCAGCCCGCACTCTGTGACTTCCCTGACTTACGTTGTAGACCAGCCCCCAGCCCGCACTCTGACTTCCCTGACTTACGCTCTAGACCAGCCCCCAGCCCGCACTGACTTCTCTGACTTACGCTCTAGACCAGCCCCCAGCCCGCACTCTGACTTCCCTGACTTACGTTCTAGACCAGCCCCCAGCCCGCACTCTGAC